GAAAATTGTGATATTACATCCACCCACTTACTGCTCGATATTTAGTAATCTTCGTTTTTAGAATGCGTAATTTCATTACATTCCAATTGCATGCTTTATAATTTTTATTTTTGAATTGTAATTTATTAAATTGAGCAAATAACTTGTTGAAAATTGTACAAATTGATTACGTCGGAAGGTCGAAATTGGAAAGTTTCTAAATAGTGTTACGAAAGGAACGTATGTTAGTTTATCAAGACAATATATAAAGATCAGTGTTCCGTAACAAGTTGATTCTATTAGCTCCAACCGTTCCGGCTTTCGGATCGTTGGAGTGAGATTAACAAGTTACCTAAAATTGCGATAGGTACAATATACCACGTGCCTGCAAATTCAAGTAATTCCTATTGAATTACTGTACAAGAGTGTTTAGAAAATACTTAGTTAAAAGAAGTAAAAACATTCTTATGTTCTTGCTGCCGAGATAGTTGTATACAAGAAGCCAATTCATATACTTGACTACGATATTTCGATTGGCGCATTCCAATGAAGTCCTCTACTAATTGCAGATAGGGAATTTTACAAATTAATTTTTCGTCACTCGTCACAATCGTCACTTTACTAAATAGGTGCAATTTTGGTTTACAAACGCTTACTTTTTCAATCGGTATCAATACATTAGATTGAGATAAATTTTCAGAGAATGAAATAACTTGAAATTTAATGGAACCACTTAAAACTGCAGCAAAATGTAATCGGGATTTATAGATCCAATTTTTAGTTTATTAGATACAGTTTTACATCACCTCATAACTTTCAGTCAATTTGCATATCTGATAAACATTCCCTAGATTTTGCTGAAAAGTTTTGTTTTAACACAAAGTTTTCGAGTAAAAATGTGTTATATTTTCAGTCTCATTTCAAGGAAGGGGTGTTCGTGAATGTTACTCTAACTTTACAAAAAAAATCTAACGTATACCTTGCAATGCTACTAAAAACAAAATGTAATCTATTTAGCATGTGTAACACCTAGCACCCTTTAAATATTTACGCAAAACGTATTTTTTCACTTAGAAAACTATAATGCAATAAATACATTTCGAGTTTAGATAAGATAAGGTAATAGACAGCCAGTTGACGATATAATTTAAAGCTGTATTAAATTGCAAAGTGAAATATTATTTTCGGCAGCTAGAGTTTTGTCCTGAATTATCATCTCTATTAATGCTTTAAGAAAAAATTTCCGAAGTTTCCATCACCCTGCATAAAATTATCAAGTAAGGAACAGAAATCGGCACGAGACATACTGAATAATTTATGAAATTTCAGCCTTTTTGAGGTGGAAAAGTAAGCCAGTCTGAAATTACCAATTTAAAAAGATGCCCTACACTAATTTAACAGACATAGCAAGAATTTCGAAACAGAAATTGCTGTAATCGGCCTGAAAGTTTTCGAAGAATTTAATCTTCGTTCTGGGCTCTACTTACAGCTTTGCGTATTACTATTATTTTAAATCAACGCAGCAAAAAGTTCACTTGTAGTCATTTTTCAGCAAGTAAAAATACACCCAAACGTTTCACTTGTATTTCGCAAACAATTTTAAATCGGTGCAGGAATAAATTAATTGTTGGTAGTGTTTCGATACTGCTAGATAGTGAGAACTCAAAACTAGCACCAAACAAAATTTCCACGGTTGCAATCAAATTAAGTTATAATAACTAAAGATTGAACTTAAATACATTTGGCTAAAGTGAAAATAATAGTATTCCTAAAACGAATTTTTTTAAAGAAAGTGAAATAATGTTATCTGATTACTATTGTAATCCGACATCAAGCCGCAATTAAAATTACTAGAATGAAACACAATTATGTTACGAACCACTTCAGATCTTCATAACTGCAATTGTAAATCCTGTTCAAAACTTGCAAATAGTTTAAAGACTCAAAAGCATTTAAAGAAACTCTCTCCAGTATTCCAAACTTTACTCAGAATATTTGAGAGGGTTTAAATTTGCAGCAATATTTTAAATAAACAACTAACTGTTAAAAAGTATACAACCAGATCTGCTATTTGTAGATGCTTGCACCAATGGTCATCATTTGACGTGTAGCATGTCCAGTTTTTGGATTTTCCATTGCTTAGGAATAAAAAAGGGTTTTCACTATATCTAGAGACCATAGTGGCTTTTAAGAAAATGTACCTAAAGTCATCTGCTATATTGAATATTACTGAACAATTCTGTCAAGTTGGTCAGATTTTAAGTCCTCTTAAGTTTACACCGCCTTTAGATAATTTTTTGAATTGTTTTTTTAATGGTGAAAAGTTGCAAATATTACAGTTATTTATGACTATTGTCATTAAAAAATCAAAAACGTAAATGACAAAATTTGAATTAAAGTCCCCGTTGGTTTATTGTAACACTAAACTATGCATTTTTAGACAGATCAATAAAAAATGTTTTCATTATTTCAGAAATACTGCCTAAATTTTCTTGATACTACGCTCTAAAAATTATG